CGATAAAAAACATAATTTTCTAATAAATTTAACAAAAAAAACAAAACAAACTAATTGTTTAGCTCAAAATTTGACACAAGAAGATGTATTTGGTGAAGAATTAAGTGATTTAAGTGAAGATGAAGATGGTGTAAGAAGAAAAAAACATGATGATAATGATTTAAATGGTAGTCAGGTATATATAATATATATTATTTAATTTATTTGTATAATTAATATATATTTTAAAAAATAGGAAGGACATGAAGGTAATGAAGATAAATTAATTGAAGAACAAGAAGAAGAAGAAGAAATTATTGTTGATACACCACAAGTTACATGTGATCTTGGTAAAGATATTCATCTTGTTAAATTACCAAGTTTTATGAAAGTTGAACCAAAGTAAATAAAAAATATAAATTTAATTTTTTTTATTTTCTATTTAATAAATTTTTAGACCATTTGATCGTCAATATTTTAATGAAGAAATTCGTGATGAAGATGATGAAGAAAGTAAAGCTCGAAAGAAATTAGGAGTAATATTGTATTTTATTTATTTATTTATTTTGTTGTCTAATATAAATATATATTGTTTAGCTTGAAAATACAATTCGTTGGCATTATAATACAAATGAAAATGGTGAAACAATACGTGAAAGTAATACAAGATTAGTACGATGGTCTGATGGAAGGTATTTTTGTTTTTTTAATATAATATTAATATTTAAATTTATTTAAAAATAATATATTTTAGTTTATCATTACATGTTGGGAAAGAAATTTTTGATGTATCAAAAGCAAATATTCAAAGTGATCATAATCATTTATTTGTTCGTCATCAAAAAAGTATGCAAGCTCAAGCGGTTTTTCGTACAAAACTTTCATTTAGGTTAATTATTCATTATTATTATTATTATTATATATTATATATAAATATAATTATTTCTTTTTTTTCATTTTTTAGACAACATTCAAATGATTCATTAGCACATTTAAAACTTAAATTTGCAAGTAAAGCTAATCCAGCACCAAAAGTTCGTGTACTTTCAAATATAAAAGCACCTATTATTAATAGTATTGATATGAGAAAGGTTTGTTTTCTTTTTTTTTTGTTAAATTTATTAGAAAATTATGTTTTTTATCT